ATGTTAATAACAGTAGCAGTGGTAATATTAGTAGTGATAGCAGAAGATGATGTTAATAACAGTAGCAGTGGTAATAGTAGTAGTGATAGCAGAAGATGATGTTAATAATAATAGTAGTAGTAGTAATTTCAGTGGTAGCAATAATAATGAATCAACATTTTCGTGAATTGAAGAAGAACATATGTTTTCATATTGAATGTTCTCAGCACTGAATAGGGTACATGAAAAAATGTCTATTAATACTTTAAAAGCTTCAAGAATAATGAGAAAAACGTGAAATCATCTATAAAGACTTAACACATTACTTATAAAGGAACTCAATTTTGATTGACATAAGACACAATTTTGATTGATATAAGGTCAATAAAATAGAATAACACTTTTTAAATTCAATGGGAAAATTATTTTGAATCTAGAATTCTTACAACACTAAACACTTCATTCTATTCTCCTCTTGCTTGCATGGTTTCTTATGAGAAGCCTGCTATTAATTTTTGTCCTTGTTTGTCTATAGCTACCATGTTTTTGTATTTGGTTTCTTTCAAGATTTTCCCTTTGTCTTTGGTTTTCTGCAGTTTGAATATGATACGTCTATCTATACATTTTTGGGGTATTTATCTTGATTTATGTCTTCTCAGTTTCCCAGAAATGTGGTTTGATATCTGTTATTAATTTTAGAAAGTGATCAGCAATTATTTCTTCAAATATATCTTTTGCTTTTTTTTTCTTTTCTTCTGCTATTCAAGTTACATGTATATTATACTTTTTGAAAATTTCCTACACTTCTTGGATGTTCTGTTCTTTCTTCTTTTTTTCTCTCTGCATTTTAATTTGGGAACTTTCTATTGACCTTTTATTAAGCTTACTGGTTCTTTTCTTGACTGTGTACAGTCTACTGATAAGTACGTAAAGGATATTATCCACTTATGATGTGTAGTGAGTTAAACAGTGTTCCTCCAATAATATATGTCCAAGTTTTAACCCACCAGTAACCGTTTGGAAATACAGTTGCTCCTCCATATTTATGTTTCTGCACTGGTGGATTCAACCAACTGTGGATCAAAAATATGTGGAATAAAACAATTTCACAAAGCTCCTGAAAACAAAACTTGAATTTTCTACACACTGAGTAATACATTGAATCCACATGAATGAAGTGATAGGTAGGCATTGTATTAGGTATCATAAATAATCTAGAGATAGTTTAAAATATGCTGGAGGATATGCATGGTTATATACAAATATTATGACATTTTATGGAAGAGACTTGAGCATCTATGGATTTTAGTATCCATGGGAGTCCTGGCACCAATTCCCTGTGGATAACCAGGAATAACTGTGGCAGATGTCTTTGCAGATGTAATTAAATCTTGAGATAAATGCAGTGATTTGTACTTTTAGAAGCAGAAGAGAAAACACAGAGCGACATAGAGGAGACCACCATATGAAGACGGAGGTAAAAACTGGAGAGACACATCTAAAGCTATGGAGTATTGGCAACTACCAGATGGAGGTAGGTAAGAAAGAGATTCTCAGAACCTCCAGAAAAACAAAAATCTGAAAATAACTTGATTTCAGACTTCTGGCCTCTGCATTGTGAAAGAATAAATTCTGTTCTTTAATGCCACAAAATTTTTGATAATTTATTATGGTAGCCCTAGCAAATATTTTGATTTCTAGTATTTAAAAAATTCTTCCTTACCATTTCTATCTCTTCGCTTACATTACTCATTTCTTCTTGCAAGTTGTCTATTTTTTCCCATTAGAGCTCTTAATATATTAATTGCAGTGATTTAAAAATACGTGTTTGATAATTCCAACACCGATGTCATGTCTGAATCTGGTTCTAATGTTTACTTTGTCTCTTCCAACTGTGTTTCCTCTTGCCTTCTGGACTTGTAATTTTTTGTTGAAAGCTCCGCATGTTGGCTATAGGAAATAAGGTACATAGGCCTTTCATGGGAAATTTTATGCTAATTTGGCAATGAGCTGGATTGTGTTTAATGTTTGCTGTAGCTGCAGGTGCCAGACTTTGAAGGCCTTTCGTGACCTTGTTTTGTCTCCTCTCCTGGCTTTGGGCTTACCTAAGTACTCCTCAGGAGCAGTCTGCATCTTGCTGCTCTTTCACCTGTAATCCATTCTTTGTACAGAAGCCCTTTTGGTCTGTTGGCAAAATGTGGGGAGGGGAAGCATTCGGTAATCTTAGGATTACATCTCTTTCTTTAGTAGAACTGTGTCTCAGGGCTGTGACCTTCACAGGTGTTTCTTAGTTTTACTAACCTCCCTGACTTAGGTGAGATAAAATAGCTAGAGGGGACTGGAGTGGAAAAAATGCCCTTCCTCCAAGTGGAATAACACTGGTAAAATCCTCTGGCCTTTGTTATGAAGAAAGCTGACAATGGTTTCTTTTCCCTTCTCCCCACCAGAATAACTAGAGGATCTTTCTGGGCGTTTCACCATGAAAACTGGTCGAACTCCAGGATATAAAACTTAGGAACATGGCCCTTAGGAGGCTCCCATTCTCCTGCTAGGATATTCAGCATTGAACGACATGTCAAAATTACCATTTAAGTGTTCCTACCTGTTTATGTCGCCAGTGACTTGTCTTCCAAGCAAACAGGTCTCTGCTGGGACTTGGATTTATTCATCTTTCCAGGTTTCAAGGTGATAATTTGCCCTGAGATCTCAGTTCTCTGGTGGGTCCGAGACAAGTCATTGATGTCAGTTTTTTCAGCCTTTTCATATTGTAAAGATGAGAGTGACAATTTCCAAGTTCTTTACACGTTAAAGCTGAAACTAGAGGTCATTCTACCTCAAAGTCTTTTTTATTCTCATGACAAATCATGTTTCTAGTGAGGGCAAAGTAGAAACCTTTTCTTGGACATGGAATGACTCAGATATTTTACCTCCAAGAGTTATGGTCTAAAAATAATATATATACTCTAGAAAAATTAAAAAAGAATTTCAGACTTTCATTTCTCAGAAGATGGAATGACATGCCTTTTTCTTTTTTTCTTCACTAAGTACAACAAAAAACCTTGGACATTATGTATCAAACAAACTTAAGAAGATTCTGGAAGCTGGAGAAAAGTAGACCAGCTAAGGGGCTCAAGAATTTTTTTTACTTGGAAGTGAAGAAGCTGGAAACCCAGTAACATATACAGAACAGACAAAATAGGCCCTGACCAAAGCCTGCTCTGTCTAGTCAAAGGACTGGAAAGGCAACCAAATGTGATGGGAAACTTTTAGACAATAACTGCTCTACCTGAACCAAATGGCACAGGAATAAACACTGAGGCCCCACCTCTACCCATGCCAGCAAAGAGCCTCATGGGGGGCGGGGTGGGGAGCCAGATTTTCACCTTTGTTGAGCTGTAATGAGGTAATCCAATACTCCACCAGGATGGTGTCAGAGAAGAGCAAGTAGGGAGCAGAACTTTCACCACCATTCTATGGTAATGAGACTTCATTTGTTCCCCCCACCCTACCCATGTGTCAAGGAAGCCATGTGGTGAAACAGCAATAAGGCACCCCTGTTCTTCCTGAACAGGACAATATCCCTGGAAACCTAGTGGGGAGATTGAGTTTCCACTCAGCCCGGCAGTAATGAGGAACACCCTTTCTTGGGTGTCACTTGAAGCCACGTAGGAAATTTGGACTTTACCCCCACTTAGCAGTAATAAAATTTGGTGCTCCCCAGTCCCATGCCAGAGTGATGGTGGAAGAAGCCAACTAAAATGGAATGTTTAAATAAGAACCAGAGTCTTAAAATATTATAACCAAAATATCCAGGTTTTAAGTGAAAAACATCTATACCAAGAACCAAGACATTCTCAAACTGAATGAAAAAGGACCATCAATAGATGCCAACAAAATGACAAAGATATTGGACTTACCTAAGATTTGAAAGGGGCCACTATAAAAGTGCTTCAGTGAGCATTAGCAAACATGCTTAAAGCAAATGAAAACATAAAACGTCTCAGCAAAGAAATAGAACGTCTAAAGAAGAGTCAAATGAATATTTTAGAAGTAAAATATATAATAAGCAAAATAAAAAGTTCAGTGGGCAGACTCAGTGGCAGAATAGAAGGGACAGGAAAAAGTGAATGAGAATATCTCTATCTCCTTTATAAAGTGGGTCATTTCTATTGTTAAGATAGGATGATAGAAATGACCTTGTCTGAAAAACAGAGAAAACAGACTAAAAATAAAAATAAATAAAACTTTAGAGACCTGTGAGACTCTAACAAAAGATCTAATTTTTGTGTTAATGGATATCTAAAAGGAGAAAAAAGATAGCAGGGCATGGCTGAAAAAGTATTCAGAGAAATATGGTCGAAATTTTTCCAAATTTGGCAGAGGATATAAATCTACAGCTTCATACAGCTTAGCAAATTCAAATAGAATAAACATAGTGAGATTCACATAAGGAAGAATTAGCATCGCTACTGCAGAATCTCTTCTAGGAAATACAAGAAGAGTTCACACTTCTCAATTTATTTTATGAAGTTATTTTTCAATGATACTAAAATCAGACAAAAAATACAAAAAAAGAAAACTGAAGACCAGTATTTATAATAAATATATACGCAGAAATTCTTAACAAATTATTAGCTAATAAATTCAGCAATACATATAAAAATGACCACACAGGATATATTCCAGGGATGCAAGGATGACTCAACATTTAAAAGTCAATCAACATCATCAATCATTATTAGCAAGCTAATGAAGAAAAAAAATCATGATCATATCAATTGATACAGAAAAAGCACTTGATACAATTCAACACATCTTCATGATAAAACTTTCAGAAAAGGCCGGGCACAGTGGCTTACGCCTGTAATCCAAGCACTTTAGGAGGCCAAGGCAGGCGGATCATGAGGTCAGAAAATTGAGACATCCTGGCCAACCCGGTGAAACCCCATCTCTACTAAAAGTCGAAAAATTAGCTGGGTATGGTGGTGTGCACCTGTAATCCCGGCTACCTGGGAGGCTGAGGCAGGAGAATAACATGAACCCAGGAGTTGGAGGTTGCAGTGAGCTGATTGCGCCACTGCACTCCAGTTTGGCAACAGAGTATGACTCCCTCTCAAA